AAATATTTTTACTTATGTATTTTAACTGAAAGATCGGCTTCATTCACAAAATTATTGAGTCCGGAAATGAGACTGCGTCGTAAAATCAGTTGAAACGAGCTTACCCCTGACGCTCCTCCATGCTTCAGAGCGAGATAATAACAGATCCAAGCAGGTGACATGATGTGGAAAAAAAAGGGGGTGGGAGTATTCCTGCACCTTAGTAATGATAGCGAACTAATGACATTAGCATGTGACTGGGCCGCTCCTCGAACAACAACAGACATGTTCGTCTGTATTGGCTGCCATCTACCGGTGTTCTGAAAAAGTTTGTATCCCTGAAAAAAGTTTCCCCACCAGAGGAGGCGCTCGCGAGTAGGAAGTAATCTGCTTTTCCCCCTCAAGATGGCCCAAATCTCATGTGAAGTCTCTGACTTTTGTCTTGGCAGATCCTGGTGGACTATGTGTAAAATGCCAGAATTCATATGATGCTGCTACAGCTGATATACTGTATATTTGTTGTCAAAATACCTTTTGTACATTTGTTGCTAAAATAAAATGAACAGTCCAATGATCATTTTACTGATACGTATAAAGACTGCAAAGGCTGAAAAATCTTGAAGTCTGTATGAAATTGGAGGTAGTTTGAGGTTTAAATTTTTTATGCTTTTTAAGCTCAAAAAAGGTGGGATCGTATTATACATGAGATCGTATTATACACGAATAAATACTGTAAATATTTTAAAGGATACATATAATGTTCTTTCCACCATTAACAATGAAGACCAGCTTAAAGCAAACTGGTAACACACGGCTGGGCAGCAGAGGTACACAAACAGGAGGAGAGAAGTTCCTCAACTGCAGAGGAGGCCCTGTTCATAACCAACCACCCTTGACAGACTGGTTGAACAAAGCCCTGCACAGCAGAGCAAAGGGCCGACAGTAAACCTGCGTGTGTTTTTGCACGCGCTCTGTTCAAGCGATGCCTTTACACACACACACACACACACACACACCTATCATCATACTCACACATGCGAGCGACCCTAGTGTGTCGGGCTGCGTGATTTGAGAGCGAGCGAGGAAATGGAGAGGGATGAAATTGGTTAAGAAAACACCCGTCTTGTTTCACTGGCGCCTCTCCACCAAGCTCTCTCGTACGGACGAGGAGAAACACAGGGAGAGATAAGGGAGGAGGAGGGAGGGAGGCAAGCAAAAAGTGACCCTACAAGGAGAGAAACATTCCTTTTCTGCATCCCCCTTTTTTAATCCTTTGCCCATCAGTTTCCCTCCCATAGTTTGTCTTTTGTCAAAGCTTTTCTTTTTTTTTTTTAGCAGATTAAAAGACTAGTTCAAATTCAGGACAAAAGTGGACAGAGGAGAAGCAGATTTTTGCTGTTAGATTCCATCAGCACAGCTGCACACACACACACACACACACACACACACACACACACACA